ATTTCGGCGAAATCCCCCAACATTACTTCAATTGAATGTGAAAAATGCGTCGGAAAAATAACGTGAAAACCAGGTAAGCGTGACGATGTAGGGCCAATGCATCAGCCAACTTGATTAGTCGTTTTGGTCGGAAGGGAAAAATCCCCAGGATTTAAAAGGGACGTCGGGTGCTACTCAGGCCTATAGTGCGTGGGCCAGGGCAGATAACGTAAATTTAGATTGAGAATTAACTATACAGGGTGTTTCGTAATGATGTTCCAATATTTTAACAGGGTGTATCAATCATTTAAGGAGGTATTTTAAAATTTGGTTCATCTTTGTCAAGATATTTTAGTAATCCTTTTTTCTTCTTGAAAACGGTTATATCGATGTTCGCTCGATTATAAACACGTTTGTTTGTTAAGCCTCAGAAAATTGTTAATTTAAAGTGGGAAATTGCATGTACACATATCTGAAAATTGATGTACTACACACTGTAAGTGAAAAGTTTCCAACAAATAAGGAAAAATCCTGGAAAGTGTGGTTATTTACGAGGAAATTTGAATTATGCCGAAGAACCAAGCTTTGTCACAATCTGAGCCATTAGTTATGGATCCAGTCCAATTGGAGGAGAGCATGATAAGAAATATAAGTAATAAACTTTTTGATAAGATAGAAAAAAGATTGAACAAATTTGAAAATGAGTTAAATAAAATTAAAGGTAATTTGGATATTGAAAAAATTCATTTACAAGAAACAAAAGTCTTAGCAAATGAAAAGAAAGTTTAGCAATTAGATTTAATGCAAAGGAAAAATACGTTAAAATTTGAAGGATTAGCAGCCGAAGAAGATGAATATTTACTCAACAAAATTTTAAAACTAATTAACCAAGGTATGAAAGTAAAATGTGAAGAAAGAAACATTAATGATATACATATAGGTACAGGCTAGGTAAATCAAAGAAAAACGAATAACCAAGATCTGTTATTGTAAAGTTTGTTACATACATAAAAAGAGAGGAGGTCCATAAATCTAAGAAAAATCTAAACAAAACAGGGATATATGTTAATGAAGATCTCACTCAACAACAATATAATGACTTCAAAGAAGCTCGTCAGAAATATGGAAATTCAAGGGTTTGGACCCAAATTGTTAAAATTATGGCAAGAATGGATGAAGGTGTGCAAGTTATAAGATAAATACTATTTAATATTATAGGGAGGTACAACTGTTTCGGATGGATCTTCGAATGAAATCATTTAGAACATTTATTAATTTATCCACATAGTTTTTGTTCCATTTTTCTTTTTTTGGTTAAATGGTAATATTATGATATTTTTAATCATTGATTTATTCTTTTTTAAATAATAGATTCTTCCTGCTCCTTGCTCCATATGATCTTCTTTTCCTATTTTGGCAATAAAATCCCCAAGCAATATCATTACATCATCCTTCGACATTTTTGTATTATTCAGTTTTATCGTAGGAAGTCTCTTTCTCATCTGGTTTGATTTTTTCCATAGGATGGTATATATTAGACAATGATATTATTGAATTGTTTGTAGATCACCTTAAATCATAAATCCCATCATTTAATGTTTCTGTATTCTTGCCCAGAATAGTAAAGCCTTCTTCACAATTGTTTCTCTAGAGTCTCATTTTATTTTCTAAACTGCTCCAACACCTATGCCATATCCATTAAGTTCTTTTCGCATTGACAAGTTCTAATATTAATTTCTGCGTTTTCTTCTATTTTTTTCTTCTTTTCTTTATTTTTTTTTTCTTTTAGCATTATCTGCCTAATTTTATTTTTTTTTTCATGTATCTTTGTTTCTATTTGTTTTTCCGGAGATGTTTCCGTAATTTTCTGTCCTGTTCATATGCTTCCTGTGGTGCTCGCGTCTCGTTTGGCGAGCACACAAAGAACTTCTAACATTTTATGACATTTTTGTTGCTCTTTCATGTTTGACGTTTTATATCATTATTTTTATTTTTTTGGTTACATGCAATGTTTTGAGAGTGACAACCATCTGGTCTCTTCTTTTTCAATAACGTACCTGTTATTTATGAAGCTGTGCTTTTCCTTTTGTAAATCTTTACAGGATTTTCCACCAGGATAGAAGAACGAAGTAGACAAGACATTGAGAGCCAGCCATATACTAAGTTGGAACAATATGGAAAACATTTTTATTATTGATTTTAGGAAAAAAGTTATTCTTGATAAAAAGTTCTGCATGACCCAAAACTTATAAGATATCAAATTTTTCAAGCCGTATACGAGGTTTGTCAAAAAATATGAATTTTGCTCAAGTTTATTTTTTTACAAAATTGAAAATTTTCATTAAGAAAATGTTTTCCATATGGTTCCAACTTAAGTAGACCGCCGTTGCTATGCTGGGACAATAGAAAGACAGCAGACAGTAAACAAGCATTTCCCAAACATCACGAACAAATCCAAATTTTATAATTCCGATTATACCATTTTTATATAGTTTTTTCTGATTAAATTTTTTTCTAAATTAGTTGTAGCCATTACTCCAAAGGATTTAGTGGTCGCCGACCGGGACCACTAAATGTTGGTGACCTCGCCAAAGAACATTTTTAGGCAGTAACCCCGAGACAAGTCCAAGCTGAACATTCCCCAGATAAAAACCACATCTCCAACTGCGTGCCGTTCATAGCAGCGTCGAGGAGGAGAGAATTTCCTGGGGATCATCACGTGAAGATTTTCAAAAGGAATCGGATCAGTGAGCCATTTGAATTGTCTCTTTTAAAAAACATTGCATATTGTTTTTTGCCTAAATTGTTATTTTTATAATGTCAGAACCAAATACCTCCACTGCTGAAAGAATTGATTCATTAGAAAACTTAAAAAATATCAGACTTCCAGCCTTCTGGTCATCCAAACCAGAACTGTGGTTCAAACAACTAGAAAGTCAATTTTTTATTTACAATGTCAAAGCTGACAAGAGCAAATATCATGTCACTGTAGCGTACTTACCACCAGATATTTTTAGCGAGGTTTATGACGTAATTAGTAAACCTCCAGCCAATGATTTATACGACTATCTGAAAGATACAATTCTCAGTAGGTTAACGCTATCGGAGGAAGCACGTGTAAATAAATTACTGTCTAGCTCAGAATTGGGCGATAAAAAGCCCTTCACATTTTTTAGGGAACTCATGCAAATCGCCGGCGATAAAATAATTGATGAAAGATTATTGAGGCGGTTACCGGACGTAATTGAAATTGCCCTAACCTCCTCTAGTCAGCAAGATCTCTCTCACTTGTTAACACTAGCGGATAAAATTTGGGAGACGCTTAAAAAAAACTCAAATTCTGTCCTTGAAATTCATGATTCATATAAGTCAAGCGAAATATCAAATTTGAACAAAACGATCACTAATTTTATTGAGCAGTGCCAAAATACGTTCAAAAATATTTTAGACAAACAAGCCGAATTTGAAAGAGAGATTTCATCTTTTAGAAATAATTTTTCATCAAACTCTTATAAAAATCATAAATGTCATTGTCAAAATTATAGAGGTAGATCAAATAGTCGTGACAGATCAGAAAACTCACATTATCGTCGTGATAAGAGTCGCGATAAATCTGGAAATTTGTGTTATTACCATAGCACGTTTGGTAATAGTGCAAAGAAATAGAAATAGAATTATCGAAATTTTTTGATAGAAGACAAGGTGGACCATTACAAGAAAGATACAAATTCAAAAAACTAAATAGCTCAACCGTAAACAATTTTAACTCTACCACCAATGTTTCTATGTCAAAACTAACCAATTAAATTTTCTTTTTGACAGTGGAGCAGATATTAGCTGTCTTCCCCACAGTTTTAAATAAAAGCCTTTTAACGCAGTTATATAATTAAAATTATATGTATATTATATTAGTATATATTATACAGTTCTTTTTTTTTAGTCAAAAATAATATAGCCATATCAAACATTCCGACGCATGTATCAACATGACCTTGAAGGTTTGGAGGTAAATGTAAGATTGGCTCTATGCGGGACAAGCAAAGAACGTTTTTTCCTCCCCAGGTTCGGATTGTTTCCTTTGAGTTTATCTTTTGAATGAAGGAAACACGTTTGGGCTCCGAACTAAATGATCTTCTACGTTTGTGTGTTTACTTGATAAAAAAAAAAAGAAAATTTGGGTCAATGGATAAACGGCCCATTTTGTTTTGTAACTAAAAGAAAAAGTTGATGGAATTTGGAGATTTTAGATAACGTTAGACAGGTTTATCTTTTATTTGTTCTTTTTTAGAGCCATGAAACGGTTTTATCTTAATAGATTGAACGTTTGTTACGATATAAACTCGTTACACTAATATATCCATTACGTGATATTTAAAATTATATAGATTTGATCTAAAGAGTAATTTTTGCTTTATCTCAATTAACTACAACACGTAGTTTTATTCAATGTTTCTAGGGTCTAATAACTGATTTACCCTAATAATAATAATATGTACCTCTGCTTTACACTAGAACAATCACTTGGCTAACTCAAAAAGCTTCACTCTTCTGAGTCTTCTTTGCAGGTTGGTATTGTCGGGGATCTGCATTACCTATTAACTTATGATATACCAACAATTTTTCCGAGCTATTTTACATGCCACGAATAGCGCGGAGGTACCACACTTTGGATTGTCATGGAACCGTCGATATTAAAGGGAGCGACTTGCTCTTCCGAACGTAGATGTAGAATTGCACCCTCTACCGATTTTGATATAAATTTATAACTAGAGTTTCTTGAGTTTCAAGCCACTGTAGTGCAAAGTTTGATTTTTTGGGTATATTTTTGGTGCATTATCATTTAATTTGATATGTTTAGGGCCGATCTTTTCACCTCTGAGTAAATTGATATGTAGGTTTACTTGACAGATTAACAAACAGTAGCCCTTTAATCACAGGTGAAAAGACTGGCGCTTAACTACTTAAATTTTACTATGATTTCAGATTTTATGAAAAAAATCAATATCTATGTTTGTACTTACCTATAACGTACATGTATCCAGACTGCATATATGTATAAAAATTTGGTGCATCAGAGGACACTTCACATTTATATCTTCCTGTAACTTCGGGTTGAACATTTTTAAGCACTAAGTTTTTATGCGTACTCTTCTGTTCCTGTAAAGAAAAGTAAATCGTTAATTAAATCAAAGATATAAATATAGATCAATTATAGTGTAGTGTGAGAAAGTTAGCAAGCTAGTAAATAGCCTACATAACTATTTATTTCTCTAGCTAGTCTCTTGGTACTAGCCTCTTTTAACGTTTTAACTGATGAATTAGTTATAGCTATTCTTTAAGTCGATGACTCGTTTGTAATTATTTATACAGGGTGTCCCGAAATTAAAAGGTCATATTTTAACAGCGTAAAAGACCCAAAATTCCAAAAACTTTAAAAACATGTTGAAAGTTTATTAATGAGAAGTTTATTAATCTAGAACAAGTCAGAGGGGGTTATTCTCTAAAAATCTTGTAAAAGTAGATGCTGAGTGGTCACCTTCCGTTTCATTCCACCAATAGCAAGTACATTGGAGTGTCGCTAAATTATATATCGTGAAGCTGTGACAATTCAACTTCGTCTTATAATAAATGGCACTAGAATTAATTACAGGACAAATTTTGACAGTCTGAACATCTGCAGTTAATGTATAACATTCTCCTTGTAATGCCTTTGCTTTATCTTCTTCTTTCTCCTTGAGTACTCTATCTTAAATTTTTATGTAATTTTTTTAATCTATGTCTGTTATAATATTTGTTTTAAAAGGTCAACAAATATCACATCTATATGTCTTGGGTTTATGAAGAAAAATATAAATTTTTCTCAAAATTTCATCAAATATTGGAAACTTTTTTTGTTTTTACTTTTACAAAAATGTCTGTAGGTACGATAAAGATCTGCTTTTGTGCGAAACATTTGTAAAATTTCTCTGTATCTCTTCTGCAATAGTGAGAGCCACGTTTTGGTAAATCATTTAACCATTATCTTGGACAGTTTCTTTTTTCCATATTTAGTGCTTTATCAATCCGTGTTTTTTGTTAATTCTCCTTTTTAATATTATTATTGCTATTATTATTATTCAATGTTGGCTATCCAAGTATGCATTATGTCTTCCTTGAGACCCAAAGTTGCCAGGAACATAATTTTGGCGATTATTATCTTTGGTCCTTAAATAATAAATATAAGTTCGCTTTCGACGAGATGGACCTCCAGTGGATTGCCTTTTAGTTTGTACGTATTCTATGTTACCTCTAACATAAACTTTCTTCTTTTCCCAAGAATCCATGTTATTCCAAAATTTGTCAGAGATTATTTGGCAAAAGCGTTTTTTGGATTTCTTGCAGGCAACAGAATTGCAAATTTCTCCCATTTTTCGTTCAGGTTGAGGTATGACATCAGTAACTTTTCCATCTTTACCTCTTTTGTATCCTTTATACTCTTTACCGCACACCCTAAATTCTTAATTTTGTTTCTTGGCCAATCACATTCTCGTGCTTTTCTTTTTCTTTTTGAAGCGCTCGACATTTCATCATTTTCTTTTATATCTGCTACAGCATGAGTATCAGTTTCAATGCTTTCATTATCGCTTAAATAATGTTTCATTAGTTTCTTCTTCTAATTTTGAACAGATTGCTTGACATTCGATATGCTCCGTTATGTTGCTAGTTTGATCATCCTTATGTGTATTGACCAAGGTATCCAGTTGATCTAGAACCTGACTGCAAAGATTTTCAATGCCTTGGTCGTTGACCACCACTAAATCAGAAATATTATTGCTACTTAAAATGTTATTTTCAGCTTCATTTCTACTAGGTAACTTATCTAAACTATCATTGCTTTTATAATTTGTTTTGTCTTTATTGGAAAATACATTTTGTGAGGCAGAAACAAGAATTCTTCTGCTCCTAGGTAGGTACCCAATCTAAAAAAAAAATAATAAAAATAATACAGAAAATTCAAAGCGTATTTGAATTTTAATAAACCGTATCGTAAAGTAAACAAATAATTATAAGACATTATCTTTAATTCATTATCCATATGTGCAAGGTCCATATTAACACCTGTTAATATTGCAAAATGACCTATACGGGGTATTCCTTAAGGATATTATCTTAATGCGATAGAAGTTATTGAATAGTGGAATATTTGGCGCGTTTTAATGAGATAACGATACCGAGAATTCACTGGCGTGTATAGGAGACTACTAGAGATACCTTTTGATGAAAAAAAAAATTTGATTCTTTGCAGATACGGGGTATTACCATTATGCTATCGATATGATAGAATATTATTCATTTTACTCTTAATTAATATTAGGTTACTAAGTTTAAGGTATATTAATATTAATATTTACTCATATAAATACATATTGTTACTTTACTATATATTAAATATTACTTTGTTTTAGTTTTACAGGTTGAGTGGAAAAGCAGGTTCTATTATTACTCCGACATAATAGAAACTGAACTCTGCCTTTTGGCCGTAGATATATTTAATTTTTTCTTAAATTTCTTTTGAGTCAATGAAAACATTTATTACCTATTATTATAATTTTTATATAAATTTGTATGTGTTACTTTTTTAGTGGAACACCATGTATTGTACCGTAGAGAAATTATTAGTAAGTGTGGTAACAGTTTAATATTCACTGTACGATAATTAAAACGTTACCTAACATCTTCACACAGCTCCCGTTAGTTATAATTAGCCAAACTAAATATTTAACTTACGTCAACAGTTATTCCTGGCAAAGCAAACACTTGCACGTTAGGTAGTTCCTTGGGAATGTATCTGTAGAATTCCTTGGATCCTTTATACCACTTTACAGTATAAATAGGTTCACCGGAAAGATTGTAGTTGCACTGGAGTGTCACGGTATCCAGTCGTTTCACGGCCGTGGGGATGATGACGGTTACAGGGCGCTTTTCCGGTTTTTCTAATTTGTCTGGTTTTTCTGTTGAGATTTCTGCAAAAAAATAAATACAGGAATAAATTAAAATAAAATATACGGGAAATCAATATTTATAATTCTCTTTTTGAAGTTTTTAATGTTAAACTAACATCAGTTCAAAGGGAATCAATATTGTTAGCGAAAAAAGAGGTAATTTAAAAAGTTGATTTCTTGTTTACCTGCAGTATAGCATAACATATTATTCGAATTCCCTTAACGTAGGAAACAAAAACAAATTTATGAAACATAAACATCAAAATTACTTCGTTTATGGGAGCTCTATTAACTGTATTAAAAATAATGTGGAATAATTTGCCAGTAATATTCTTTCGAACAGCAAAGTTTATGTACAGCAGGGAATATTTTGATATTTCCTATGACGGAAAATTACAAGACTTACTTTAGTTTTACGCCTTCTTTATGGAAAATCTCCCTACTGAATACTGAATTAAAAGAAAATTTCACGTCAAAATAAAAATAAAGAGGCAGTTTTAATGAATTTAAACTACGTTATATTTTATATAGGTAATAAAATCTTCAGTAAATGCAAAAAAGTGATTTAATTATTATTGTTTTTATATAGAACGTTTTATGATACTAAAACTAAATAAGATGATTATGGTGCAGAGTATATTGTTTTTTTTAAGGTGACAAAAATAAAATTATGTGTTTAATACTATCAGTTTCGAAATCAAAATTTACTTTATGTTTAGGCCTCGCCTAATGGATAAGAGCAAACATGTGGTTAATTATTTGTAAATTGTAGAAACTGTTTTATTTTTTGATAGTATTTTTAATACCGTTCATCCCCGAAATGCAGCAAGAGTGGGTAGCGCAGTAATAATTAGAAAAGCAATTAAGCATTATCAAGAAGCGGGATACAGGACTAAAGAATTTCAGGCTACTTCAGTAATGATAAAATTTAAAATTTTGATTAAAAAAGAACAATACCTAGATTTCTTTAATAGTCAAGAAGCTAGATTTATAATTGTAGGTGACTTCAATGCAAAACACATCCATTGGGGCTCCAGACTAATAACAACTAAGGGTAAAAACCTAAAATAAGCAATAATACAGTTAAAATATGAGTCGCATTTAACTGGCAAACCAACTTATTGCCATTGGCCCACAGATAGAAACAAAATACCCGACCTAATAGACTTTTTATTGTACGAAATATTTTAGCAAACTACATCCTAGTTGATGAGGCATGGGACATTAATTCAGATCATTCGACCATTTTTCTCATTCTTAATGATACCATTATCCAAAAGGAAAGCGCTTATAGACTAATTAATAGAAGAACAGACTGGCACAGCTTCAGACTGGCACAGCTTCAGACTGGACCTTGAAAATAAAATCATACTTTCAGTTCTATTAAGAACAACAGTACAGCTGGATGAAGAAGTAGAACTACTTGTGCAACATACAGCAAGCAGCAGGGGATAATACTAAAGAAATAAGAGACCTAATCTCTGCAAAAAAAACTAAGGAGAAAATGGCATCAGACCAGAGCTTCATCAGATAAAACCAAACTTAAAAACGCCACCCAGCAGTTAAAACGAATGATAAAACGAATCAAAAATGAATCTATTTGAGTACTTTAATGAGTTGACAAACGATAAACCCACTGATTATTCTCTATGGATACCCACAAAGCGATTAAAAAGGCCCACTGTGCAGAAAGCACCAATCAGAAATGCAGATATTAGCTGGGCTAAAAGTATAATACAATAACAGATTCGCGAGCACTTACAAAATACCTTCCAATCAAATAAAGTAGAAAAATTACCGAACTGGACTCCAAAGGAAATGGCACAAGATATAAAAACAAATATTTTTCCTAAAAAAGCTCCTGGCTTTGATTTAATTATAGGAGAAATTTTAAAATAACTTAAGAAGAAAGCCATAAAAATACTTACACGCCTGTTTAATGCCTCATTTAAACTAAGGTATGTTCCTAGGTTGTAGAAAGTATCTGAAGTCATTATGATACCCAAATCAGAACAACCTCCAAACGAAGTTTCTTTATATAGGTTTACGAGGTGTGAGAATTAAGTAATGAGACCGATTTTATTGCCACGCTTATGGTAAACCTGCGACCTTGAAACTCCCTTTCTTCTTCCCCGACATTCTTTCCCTTTTCCTTAATATTATCACCATCTCTCTAGTTTGTTTAGTAGACGGGTGTTGGTGGTGCTCGTCACGAAAATGGAGAAGCAAAATCTAGAGCAACGCGTCTCGATAAAAGTTTGCGCCAGATTGGGCGAAACAGCTTCAAAAACGTACACTAAAATCGTAAAAGAATATGGCAAAAGTGCTCTCAGTCGTGTCCAGGTGTTTCGATGGCATAAAGAGTTTAAGGAGGGGCGTGAAAGCGTTGAAGACCAGGCGCGGAGCGGGAGACCTGTCGAGGTGCGGACTGACCCGAATGTGCAGCGAGTGCGCGCCCTAATTCGTAAAGATCGGCGTCTAAGAGTTTAAATGTTGGCCTCGGAACTGGGTATGAACCGTGAAACAGTTCTGAGGAGCAAAAATGGCATCGAATGACCGTCGCGTAAGACTGTTTGGAGCAAATGGAAAACGATCTCACGCTGCTTGATCGAGTTATTACAGGCGATGATTGCTGGTTTTTCCAGTACGACCCAAAAACCAAACGCCAAAGCTCACAATGGTTGTCTGCGCACTCCCATCGTCCGACATCCCAGTCAAAGCGTTTCAGAAATTTTACAACGGGGTTGGCAGAGTTGTAGAATAATTTTAAAATATACGGATTTTATGAAATCAGTCTCATTACTTAATTGTCACACCTCGTATATCTCTATTGCCTATAATATCAAAACTATTTGAAAAAATGCTAATAAAAAGACTGAAACCCATCATTGAAAAAATGAAACTAATTCCAGATTACCAGTTTGGCTTTAGAGAAAACCATTCAATAATAGAATCTCAAATGAGTTTGAAAACGCATTAGAAAACAAAAAAGTCTGTTCTACTTCCACATCCATACTCAGAGCTATTGAATTTATACCAGGGTTCGAAAATATCATGATATTTATATAAATATCATATCACATGATATATATCCGATATATATCATTTTTAAAATTTAAAAAACAGTACTGTTTCTTGCACAAACTATTTTTTAAATTTTAACACAAACATACTAACAAAAACCTATATTCTAAACAACAAAACCGTTTATTCTAACTCAAGAAGAAAAAACGAAAATAATTAATAAAATAAACCGATTTTAACATTATTTTGTTAACAATAATATTTTAACACAAACACATATAAATTGCTAGTTATTATACTTTTATACAGGGGCGTATTGAGAGATTTTCCGATATTCAGAATGGTAAAAAAACATTTTTAATTTAATAAATAAAATTATCGAATATATCGGATATATATCAAGGTATAAATATCATGATATATATCACTTGATATATATCCTCCGAACCCTGATTCACACATTTCAGAAAGAGTCTTTAGAGTAAAACAAGATGAAGCATACTCTGAATTGAAAAAAAAAAATGAAAGCAGGAGTACCACAAAAAAGCGCCCTGGGACTCACTTTGTATCTATTATATACTTGTGACATACTCCAATTAGAAAAAAACACAATTGCTACATTTGCAGATGATACTGCCATCCTACCGATAGGCAAAGATCATAAAGAGGCTGCATATAAACTACAAACATCAGTTAATCAAATAAATAATTGGACGAAAAAAAGGCGTATTTTATTATTTATTTTACTAACAAAAATCGTCAAAGAATACCAATTAACATAAATAATACCCAGGTCCTTTATGCTAACTCGGCAAAATATCTAGGTATTACATTAGATGCAAGACTTAGCTGAAAGGCCCATGTTAAAAAAAAAACAAGAGTTTGATATAAAATTCAAGAAAATATATTGGTTACTTGGTAGGCATTCCAGCCTATCTACATATAACAAAATTCTGTTATATAAACAAGTTCTCAAACCAATTTGGACCTATGGCATTAAACTCTGGGGTTGTGCCAGCTACAATTATATTCTAATAATCCAGAGATTTCAGAACAAAGTATTGAGGAACATTGTTGATGCTCCTTGGCATATTAGAAACAACGACATTCATCAAGACCTTCAGATGAACACTGTTGACCAGACTATCACCATATTCGCTAGGAGTCACGAACAACGGCTCCACCAACATGTGAACATTAAGGCGATCCAGCTTCTTGACTACAAGAACCTAATAAGAAGACTCAAAAGAGTGAAACCTTTTGAGTTAGCTAAGTGATTGTGTTAATAAAAAAGCAAAGAGCATTGTGCGGTTTAGAGTTATTAAGTTATCAGACCCTTACGTATACTAGCGAGTAGAACTTTAGTATTTAAGATTGCAACCCTAATTAAGTTAGGTTATAACAAAATTAATCAGAACAGGCCGCGGTGCACACTTTGAGAATTATTTTTGTCTACTACTACAAAACAGTCCTTTATATAGATCATATAATAGCTGTGGCGTGGTTTTTTTTTATTTTTACCATTTACCTACCGCATATGGTGTAGCCCTTCCGGTTAGGGACTATGTTTTGGACGTGTAACGACCTATATCTAAATCAAGAGATGTTTACGATTCTCTATGTAACTTTCATCTCTATGTGTTTTCATTTCCTGCGGCATTTATAAGATTACCTGCGGGTAATTAGGGACCTGGTTCGTTCTGGTCGGCATTTTCAGGAAAAGGAAGCGCTAAACGGTTTTGGGAATATTAATGGATAGAGTAACTTGCATCATAAATATCGCGCACGGTATTCTGTATTAAATCACGGCGAGGTCGCCATTATGGGTAAATAATTCGGATTTGATTTCAATGGGTATAATTAATGAGCGAAATTCGAGGCAGCGATCTGAACTTCTTAATGGTTACTTTCATTTTGTTTTAAAATAAAACACAATCTGTGGAAATTGCATGGTTCGTAAATATTTTTTTTTATTTAATCCATGCTAAAATCCTAATATAATTATTATACTATGTCCTCTTGTAAGCCAAACCCATTGAAATGTAATAGTTATAATAAAACATTATTAACGATCATAGGCATCGAATCCTTGGGGGTGAAACTGGCAAAAAACTGTTCCCCCCTAAAATCAAAAATTGACGAGCGTTTTTTCGTAAAAGACATTGAGTGTCCAAAACTGG